GATTTCTCAGAGCGTGGTCGGTGGACGTGGGCAAAGCCACACGTTTAATGACATCTCGGGGTATGTAATGACACCGGATGGCTTGCAGCGGACCGCATGGTGTCATACCATCAGATGTGTCTCATAAGAACTGCATGTGACACTGGGCAGCCTCCTGACATGGTTGCGATAGTTGTCAGAGCCACAAACAGCTAAAACGCCAGGCAAATCAGTCTGCTCCGTTGCCCGTGAGGAAGATCTAGCTTGGGCAAAATGCGCCGCACGCGTTCAAAACAATTTAAATAAGCTGTCATCAGAGTTGACACGTCTAGGTATGCTGCAATATAAGATGCACTTAAAGCAGGTGATGTTGCGTCTTGGATGTACGTAACCGTTTCGCCACAGCTAAGCAGGCATCATGCCTTTTGCAAGCCATGGTCTTTGTTTTGGTCCTGTTTTTGATCAGCACGTTTTTTTAGCGTGAGTCTGTACCTTTTTTGCTTTGCTGAGCTCCCTTTTCTACGATTAGCATACTTTCTTTTATTTCTTTTGACGAGGATGTGTGAAAGGCCTATATGAATTTGGATGCCCCTGATTCGTGAAAATGCAATGCACTACAACACATTCGTGATTGCAACATAACGTTCTCCAAGTCGGACCATGATGAGCTGATTCCTACAATTAAACTTGCATATATGCCTGCACACATGTTTGCGGCCGGCGAGGGTGCGTGACCCGGGTCGGCCACGGCTATCCCACCAGACTGACCAACCGGCAGGGTGGTCGGCTGACCCAGCGGAAGCAGCCGCGCCGGAGGCCAGCTACATCGAACGTGCAGTCTACATGGACAATCATTATGCGGACGACACGACCCGAGCGCAGACATCCCTAGGCGACATTATCACTCAAAGATACGGTCTGTCATCTTGGAATGCGGTCAGGGTAATTTTGTCCAAAAACATCCCATTCATTTTTCATTATAAACAAGGTTTTAATTGCTGCCTCGCTCATCATTGCGCGTTGCTGTTGTTGTAGAGCTGATGCGCGCTCCGCATACCTGACGTATGAAATATTTACCGGGAAGAACAAGCAACGAGTCATACCTTTCCTCGCTACTACAGCGCTTGCATCATCAAAGGGGCTTATCACGCTGCTTGCAAAGCCAGACGTCACGGAGCATTCTCAGAATACCTGTAAATGTTCCTCAAGCAGCTTTACAAACGGCGCGCACTTATGATTTCGCTGTTAGATAAGGCAGAGATAACGGTATGTGTTAGGATTTCATGTGCAATTTTCTAGTGAATCATTCTACACAATAAAAAAAATGTTCCAAGGAACCAAGCCCTAAACAGCTCTAAAAACCAAGAGCAGCAGCAGCTGCGTATGTAAGATGCATCGTTCCAGGCACGGGACATTTTAAAGGGTTATTGGCATTAAGGGTATGATGGAATGGCGCTGGAATCATAGCCCAAGCTATTCGAGGGATGTCGAGTTATCAATATCTAGTGTGCCAACCAGGGATGTTATGGATGGTAACATAGTTTTCCCCTTCCTGATTGCTAAACATGAATGCTGGGGATTTATGCCGCACAGGTTATAACACAGACGCAGAGGTCGAAGGCTATACCTTGTTTTGTTTGTAAGAGAAACATGACGCTTTGGATGAGAAATGAAGCGATGACGTCATGTGCCCTGAGGCCCACTGTGTATAAAACATGCCGTGGGTCCGGTGATGAGGCCGTAGGTCTGCAGGCGGTGGCATCCACCTACTTCGAAAAACGTGAAGATTGCCATCGCCTAGGTTTTAAGCTTTCATGTAATGGGACTGTTTCACATTTATATAAGGGTTTGAACTGAAATAGACATATTGAAGACCTTCTAGTGATGTGAAAAATAATCCTGTCCTGTTTAAGACCTACGCTTGTCTAGTTTCTGGGCTACACGCCCGCGAAAATTGTGCAAGTTAAATCGGGGAGAGTATTTCAAAGTCACTTTGGCATTCATGGCGTCATAATGAGGTCATTCATAGCCTGTCATTCCATGAGCCATCCGGCGATGAAGGCTAATAAAAATATAATTGTCAGGACGTTCATGTTTGACTTTCCTGAGCGCAATTTCCAGATATAGCTGCCATCAATTGGCTCTCAATCAATGTTTTACAAGGTGCGATGACGTAAGTAAACTATGACGCATTGAGAAGCGTATTTGATAAACATAGACTGTGCAGGGGGATGTTTAAGCGGAATATTTGAGAATGGAAATGCCATATTAGGGGAATGTTTAAGTTCCATCTGTAGGCCTGGCCAATGTGCTCCTGTTATCTTCGTTTCTTACCATGGTTGTGGATAATAACTGTTAATGCCATAACAAAATTAAATTTAAAATGTGGTACGATGCGAATGCCAGACCAAAATTTTCACACGCCGTTCGCGAGTCACGCAAAAATCCTTACTTCAATAAAGTAGCACTGTTTTGTGGGATATTGTTGTGGTATACATCCAGTGGCAAAACAAATGAAACAGGTTGCGTAATTTGGCCGAAATGCTTGGCCCCCAAGCCCTGTGACTGAGTCCGTTCATGTAGCCAGATGCTTACCGCCCCATACACGCAAAACCTATGTTTTTTCGAATACAGCAGTCCACCTACCAACACAAGAACACCCCTTACCTAGTAACAACAGTCGTGTTTTTGCTAGTATCGCAATACAAAAATCGGAACTAATGAGCGGATAAATGATGCGATACATATTATAAGCCCGAGGCGATAAGACGCACGAAGCTTTGAGAGGATGAACTAAAAAGATCCGCGGTACGGGAATTGTCTAAGTTCTTCGCGACTAGCACGGTCCCGTCACCACAACCAAAAATACACACCTTCGCCCATGGCCGCCATGGAAGAGTTTCGCCCTGAAGCGACGCTTAGAAGGATGCCCCCACATTCGTTTGTTTTCAATTTTTTAATGGCAATTTTTTATATTTCTCTGGATACATGGACACGCAAATATGCATCGAAATAGCTCTGCTGACGAAGAAGCAAAACGAAGTCTCATGTTTCTGAAATGTTTTCATCTTCATTGTCTCGTTTCTGATCTTCTTGCAGTCATTAGTTTGCATTTTCGTCTATTCTCCAACCCGAATGGGGTCAACGCGCTCATCACCACCTTCACCCAATCAAACCCATACGCCAGCACTTGCCGACAATTAATCGAGATAATCGCCTCAAGGAAGGGCTGCTTGCCAGACTGCGTATCAGTCACACCAAAATCACCCACTGCCACCTTTTCAAACGCACTCCTCCGCTGTGTCATCGCTGCGACATCCCATTCGCAGCAGACCACTTCCTCCTCGTTTGTCCGGTATATCAACGATCAAGACAACCGCTCATCAATTACACCAACGCTAATCGAGTTCCATTCAACCTCCTCTTGCCTGGTCTTATGCCGGAAGTGAATGCGAAATTGATTTAGGGTCCGTCTAGGGAAAAAAGAACCTTGCATTGGCCCACCAAAAAGGAGAAAAAACTTGTATGACGTCACTTACGCCACATTTGGTGACGTCAGTGCAAAGGGAGCCCTTGACTAAGCCGGCTGGCCGTTTTACGTTCCATTACTTTGAATGGTGGTTATGCAGGGTTGCAAATATTTTTAACTGATAACGGGGGCCGCGCCGAGGGCCAGACGATTTAAGCAGCCATGACGATCATGGGCCTTTGTCAACGAACGAAGCCCGTTTCATGCTGACGATACGTAATTCAATGTCTAGTTTCTATATCATAAAAAATTGTTTTCCATCTTAGCACCACAGCAGTCATGTAGGAGAGCATGGAGGGGGCGGGGTAGCAGCGGCACTGGGGCTGTGCGCATCTTCGCATGCCTAGCTCACCTTGAAATAGTCCGCTCAAAATAGTCTGTACAAATTTGCAAGCGCGTAGCCTAAGACCCGGCGGGTTTCTCAAAGAGGCAGGGCTGTGAACTACACCGAATGCTCTTCAAAATATTTACTTCAGTTCCAAACCCCATGAGATGTAGAGCACCTCTTTTCAGGGGCTTCAGTTTGGGCCTCGCGTCTACAAGTCTGTCCCTAATGAGCGTCGAATCTTTTACAAATAAACTCGGTGTTTTTCTGTACCACTGTGCGCTGGTCTTAATATCTTCTCGTTCTGACGGTGCCAAATTTTCCATTTAAGGAATCAGGGCACTTTGTGATGCTAACACCTGCGGTCACACAACGTTTTGTAAAACCCACACCAGTGCATGAAACACACACCTGACGCAGTCTTTAAAAAGGTCCCCAATCAAGTCATTTATTCGTCGATTCTGTGTATTGATAGGTTAACCCACCTCAAGAAGGTCTCTTAACCAAAAGCGCATTTACGCTAAAATACACGAGCATGATAAGTTCGTTAATTACGTATTACCTACCAGCTTCTGAAAACACCTAGCACACGCACCACTATCCGTACACCCTGCACACCCACTGACTCTTTTTCCAGCCTCAAGCATACCCCACACTACTCGTTTTGTTATCATTTTGACCGAGATGGCCCTGGTGCAGTGGCCGATCCAGGGGGACTGTGCCTCCTCCTCCTCCCCCCCCCTCACTGGACCGAAGGAATATCGAAATCTCGCGGTAAAGGGGCACAGAGGTTTACATTTCGGTCCAGATCGCCTTCATTTTCCAGACGCACCGAAGTCCAAGGGCGCCACAAACTCCACGAAATCCTGAAGTTCAGCGTAAAAAACAGAAAATGAGATTGAGAAGTAACTTGGACCATTCCGGCGAATATATTTCACGGATTGGTACATAAGAATCTGAAAATAAAGTGGCAAGAACCCAGGGAATTCTTTGGGAGGGGAGGGGCATCAAATTGAAGCGTGCCCCTCCTCGCCACAAAATCCTGGATCCTCCCTGCCCTGGTGACCGAAGGTCAGTTTCAAGACGCTCGCGACTGCGACGTCAGCGCACCTGGTGGCACTGTCCGAAACGCATACCTGCCCCTGTCTATCTGTCGAAACAGCAGGATACGACAGGCACACCGCCCATCCGGTCAGTCGGTGTCAGGAGTCGTCTCGGCGAGGCGGGGGTGGTGCGCAGCCGGTGTCAGGAATCGCCGAGGTGAGGCGAGGATGGTACCGCTGTGTGGCAGCCCCGCGAACCGGCGGCTGCAATTGGCCGCAGCCATTCTGCTCGTGCTACTCTCCACCCTGCTCCTAATGCACGCGCCGCTCAGGCCGGTGGAGCTGGTGTCAAACCTGTCCTCTGAGTCGACCGCGGAGTCTGAGTTGCTCGACGTGTGCGCGCGCCTGCGACGCCACGCGGTGGGCCTGGTGCCGGAAGTGTGGGACGTGATGCGCTGGGTTTGCCGAAAGATCGGCGCCGACGTGCCCCCCGAGTTGGGTGGCGCCGGCTGCAACAAGTCGCTCGTGTACACGCCGATCGGTCGGCTCGGCAATCTAATGGGGCTGTACGCCATCGTGTACAGCTACGGCAGGATGTTCGGCGCTACCGGGTACGTGGAAGACGGCATGCGGGGCACGCTGAAGAGGTACTTCCCCAACATCTCGCTACCGCCGATGTCGAAAGTGCCGGACGCCGCCTGGGAGCTCATCACCTACCAGCAGGCTGAGGAGAAGCTCGCCTGTCCACCCGAGGATGACGGTGCCAAGCCGCGCTTCTTTCGCATTAGCAACTACCCAGACCGCAACGGCATCGACGTGTTTCACCCGTACCACGAGGAAATTGTAAAGGAGTTCACGTTTACGACCGCCATGCAGAAACAGGCACAGGAGTTCCTGCGGTATGCCAAGGGAAACCGCAGCTCCGTGACATACATCGGCTTTCACGTCCGGCGGACCGACTACGAGAGGTACATTCGGAAGCAGTATCAGGAATCACTGCCGGACGAGGTCTACTTCAACAAGACTCTTTCCTACTACCGCGCCCGCTTTGCCGACGCGCTCTTCATCGTCTGCTCCGACGACCTGACGCACGTTGCCAAGGTGCTGAAGGGGCATGGTGACGACATCGTCATCGCAGGCAACCGCAACATCGGCGACCCGGGTCGTGACATGGCGCTGCTGTCCGCCTGCAACCACTCGATCGTGACGGTGGGCACGTACGGCTTCTGGGGCGCTTACTTGGCTGGCGGCACGGTGCTGGTGCCGGAGGCGCAGACGCACCTGTCGCGCGGCGACCGGCACACGCCGCTGTTGGAAATCCAGCTGGCCGGCGCCACCAACTGGATTGCAGTAAGATGATGTCGGACGGCGGCTGACCGGCCGTTGTGAGCCCTCTGAGCGGTCCTGCCCGATGGCTCCCGGCGCCCGGCCGTGGCTGCAGCTCCGGCCATGACCTCGGGCTTGGCAGACCGCTCCGTTACCGGCAGCTCGGCTGGGCAGCTGTGCGACAACCTGGCCGCGCCGCCGCCCGCCGCGTTGAGGTCGTTGCTCTGGCGTCCGTTGGCATGACTCCACCGAATCAACATTCCGAGGGTTCAGGATATGGACCCGGCATGGCGCGAACGAGGCGTTCCTGAGAGCGGGTTGGCGCCGGACAGGGGCGCTAGGGCCTCTGATCGGCAGTTTCCGCTCCGATTGGCTGCACCTTTCAGGTGGGCTTAAGTCCCTACGACGTCGTGTCGTTGAGATCTGAATCAGGGTTCGGCCCGTAGCACAAAACGTGATTCGTGTTTAAACATCCGCTTCTTTTCGCCTCGCTCTTGCTTTATCCTACACCGGAATGGTGGCGGTCGCTTGTCCGGGGCGGGGTGCACGCAGGAGCCACGAGTGGGCCGAGAGGCCCCCCTTGGGCACTTGGTGCATACGTTGCACAGGGGCCTCTGCCGGGTTAAGTCGCGGCGAGTTGGTCCCCGGGCGCGTGTAGTACTCCCCTCTGTTATCCGCTCTCCTTCATCCTGTGGCCTTGAAATAATAATTATTGTTACTGTTGTTAATTATCATTACATCACATTACTGGCTCTAATCCAACTAATCAAATAACCAAAAATCGTGTTTAAATTTTGTACAGCCTACACAATATTGATCGAGAGCCAGTTTGGGTCCGTTTTATTTGGAAACCGTGCTCACGAACGAAATATATGAACCAGTCGATGATTATGATTGAAATGTTCTTGGCCTTAAACGCCGCATGGTTAATGGGATGGCAACAACTGAATGACGTTTCGGTGGCATCACGCATGCCTGAGTGGCCTTGAAATAGTCGCAAGAAATAGTCTGCACATCTTCGCGGGTGTGCAGCTCAGAAACTAGAGTTTTAGGTGATATGAATAAAGGGGCTGTGAACTGCACCGAATGGTCTTCACGATGACTTTTTCAGTTCAAAACTCCATGCAAACGTGGAGCACTTGCTTTAACGGTCACTCGTGTATTACAGCAACAGCAAATAGGACATTGATATGTCCATGCAAGCTACATACGCGACACCTGTACCCTTTTCAGACAAGCTTGCTGCTATTTCATATGAAATCATTTGGGTTTAGTCACACAAACATTGGAGGCAGCGCCTCACAGTGTTAACTTGAGTCAAGTATGCTTAACTGCTCAAGATACGTGTCAGTACCTGTTTTCTCGGCTTTTACTTGGTAAGCACGATAGAAGACACGCATTGGCTGACTGCGTTCATTTCAGCGAATGTATGGTCTCTTAGATCTACATTAGCCTCATGTACTATATAGACACTGACATGTTATTTCTTACTTTTAAGCACTAAGATGTTATAAAGGTGATTCAAAGCGAGCCCGCAATATCTCTGAACACATGACTATTACACAACAGGGCTATTTGTGGGTGGTAACCCACATACGCATTTATTACATTTATCCGTAAATTTAATACCTTCAAAAATAAGCTCTGTTTGCCTTTAGACAGCATCTTTAATGTACATCCATTGCCGATGGTTCACTTTTCTACGCATTCGCCCTGTTTTTCAATGCAGTGCTCCTGACAGCAACAGGCTTTCATAACTTCACCCAAGCTCTATAAAGGGTTTTTTGCCATACTGGAATATTGTCGATCTCCGTGCGGACCGCAATGGGAAGCGGTGCGGCGCCTGCGAAGTGATGCCTTAAGAGAACAACCAGAGGTGACTTGGGGTGAGGTTTGAGGAGTCCGAATGGTACTCCGGCAGAGCTCTATGGCGTTGTCAGTCGGAGTATCGGTCACAGCAACGGCGCCATGATGCGGAGCATTGTCGTGGTGACGAATGCACCAGACGTGTACCTCCCCTTAACGGAACTCGGTGATTGCCGAAAGTCAATGTTTACTCAGGATGGTTTTGTGCAGTTGGCCTGCGCCAGAATCACCGTTAGTGGCATGACATACATAACCTTTTCGAAGAATGTTTGCACGGGACTTTTTAGGATATGGCGGGACTGTGTGTTTCCACTACATCGACCACCTCCTGGCGTCTGGGCTGAGCAGCGGAAACCAGCTTTCATTTCTGATGGCAACTGGCTCTAGAAGCCGATCAGCCTCTTCTTGATGCTGTTGCAAATCCATAAGTGCCAGCCTGAGCCTACCTCCCTTTTGCTCACGTGACAGTTCTTTGGCATCTACCTTGAGGCAAAATTGAACATCTTCAGGTGATCATGAATGATACGGTAGAGTATTCCGCTGGACATACCTGAATTCCGAGCTATATTTTTGATCGTCACACGAGGATCTCACGTTATCAGAGCCTCCACCTGGGTCACGTATGCGGGGTCAGCCTGCACTGTGGGTGGACATCATGTGCCCGCAGTCAGAGGCGGCATGAGCGTCATGAGCCTGAGGCCAGGGGCGGCAACAACCCCAATCGGGCCGCTCACACAAGGAAACAGGACAATTTACAGCCTTTCCCAGTGCCTGGAATTAAAAAGTAGATTTGCTCAAAAAAAAGGCAAGACAGATGTGTCTTGCAGACATCCACGACGCCCTGGCGAGGCAAAAAACATCCGTATTACACAGAATCATGCGCACAGGCAGCAAAAGTAAAAGCAACGACATCTGACACACAGACCGAAGCAATCTCTACATACCTCCTTTGAAAACTATTGCCGCACTCAACAATGTTTTGGTTACATGAAACACCCAAGCTCAGTAAACTCATTCCCTGAAGCCGACTCTGGCCAGGCGTTCGGATGCACAGCCGTATGTGCTCTGCCGTCCCCAGGCTGGCCGGCGTCCAAGCCCTCCGGCCACATATGGTTCGCGTGCGGCCAAGTTGTCCGGCATCCCTGCCGCCCAGCTACGAACGGTCGGCAGCTACGGAGTCTCTCCGGCCGCAACACAAACGGTCCCTCCCCCTCTCCCCCGCAAAATGTCTGCTGCAGCACACCCGAGTGAAGACCACCTATGCCGTCCGTCCGTGTGGGTGCCAATGGGCCAACAGCGCTCCGCATCTTTCGGCCGATGATTTGACATTACCAATGGGTATTTTTTCATCCCTTTTCGCTGATGATGGTGCGATTTGGCGCTCGGATGCCGGATATGACCACATGCTGCTACGACTCCAAGCTGCTCTGAACAAGGTGCAGCAGTGGTTAGAATGCTGCGAGTTCCGTCTATGCGCTCCCAAGTCTGCAGTTGTGATCTATGCGTGGTATTCCCAATTTTCGTGGTCAGCTGAATGGAAATTGCCCTTCTGTGTGACAAAACCAAAATCATCAAGCATTTCCTTCAGTGCATATCTTACCTCGTATTCATCAAAGCCACTTTCTGCCAACGGAACGCTGATCAGTCACCATCACATCTTGCACCACAGTTTATTGTACCACTATTAGTTTTGTTCTGACGCGCTCTTCTGTGCCACCGGGTTGAATAAAGCCACCACGGCTAAGCCCACGAAAAATTGTGTTCCTTTCTAATGATTCAAAAAGCACTGTGACAACCGCCTTTGTTCAACAAACGTATAAACAACTAATAGCTAACTTCCAAAACTGTCATTTTATTCACATCGATGACTTCAAGGCTAACGACCACACTGGGTGTAATTTGTAATGGATGGGTGTAATTACATCAGTAGCTTACAACGAACATTACGATAACATTTGTTGGTTACCGGATGGCTGCTCAATTTATTCGGCTGAAGATTTGCTTTTTTGTGTTTCAACACATTCAACAATGCAATTATCCAACGAGAAATAGTGAATTCCAAGGCAGCTGTACGGTCACTTATTAACCCAGATTTAACCCACTGGCTTCTTGTCAGCATCGTCCAGAATATATCATATATTGCACACACTGGACACAGACATGGACGCCTGACCCTTAACACGCGCCCGGGTGGCCGGCTAGATACCCTTCGCTCGTGTGGGGGGGTCAACTTGACCCCCTAGCATCTCGGATACTAAGAAAACTAGAGACACCAAATTTATCGGGTGTGTTGGCCTGTACGTGTACTCACATGAGTCTAAGTTTCAGGTTCCTAGGTCATGACCCTTGGGTAAAAAAGGTCAAACACGGTCAAGTTACAGGTTGATCTCGCAAGGTGCCCCCAAAATCTAGATAACCGTTTCTAAGCAAAAGGTCACATGCTCATTTAAGGTCAGTGACCTTTTTTGGCCTTTTGAAAGTCAAGGCGATCAAAAGCACACAAGATTGCTCCGAGTTTGGCATTTGAATAAGCGACGAGGATTACGCTAGGCAGTATGTTTCTGTTGACCTGGGTTATTTTAGGTCTATAACCTATTCTGACCTCTAAGAAGTCCATGGATGATGTATAATGAGGTTCCTGATATCAATAAATTGGAAATGAGCACCAGAAACTATGCCATGCAGCAAGCCCTAGAGTAGTAAAACAGGTTGGTTTTGACCTTCGTGTGACCTTCATACCTGTTCTTAGGTCAGTGTAATTTGCTCATTCAAATGATGTGTTGCCCAATGAAGCATCTCAGATATGTATGGGTTCGTCTAACACTCAGTTGTTGGATCAGATTGAAGGACTCCCTAGAAATTGTCTTCGCTGAAACTATGGCCTGACTTTGACCTACCATGCGTCAGCGACCTTGCAAGGTACATCTAGATTTGTAATGACAACAAATCCGCTATTAAATTGTCTACAGGTATGCAAAATTTAGCGCAGCTACGCCACGCCGTTCAAAAACCATTCTGGAAAACCTTCGGGGGGGTCAACTTGACCCCCACCTCATTCGAGCGAACGGCATCTAGGCGGCCACCCGGGCGCGTGTTAAGACCCAAGACGTCCCGGCATTGATGTGTTAGTTACGATTCCTGATAGCTATGCCATAAGTGACACCTAATTCCCCGCATATACTTGATAACGCTAATTGTATTTCTATCCCCTTTCTGCATACTTGGCATACCTGCTAAAGCTTGCCATTAAGATTGTGACGCATTCGCATGTCAGTATTCTTGAAACATCGCAATATTGCTACAATTCCATATTTCATATTCGAGTAGCATGTATAGCGTAAATACTCAAGCTTGCAAAGAAGCTAAAGTACACGGGTTGAGCCCCGGTCCAGATCTCGACGGCACGACGTCGCAGCAACACAAGCTTGATTACTTATATCCAGACATGTGCCTGGTTCCTAATGTTGGTTCCTAGTTCCTACTGGTTCTTTCGACAAAACAAGATGCTAGATCCTGGTTCTCACTGGTTCTTTCGACAAAACAAGACGCTGGATCCTGGTTCCCACTAGCTGTTTTGACAAAACAAGATGCTGGATCTTGGTTCTTACTGGTTCTTTTGATAAAATAAGACCCTGGGTCCTGGTTCCCACCGGATCTTTCGACAAGGCAAAGCCCTGGATTTTGGTTCCCATTGGTTCTTTTGACAAAACAAGACCCTGTATCTTGGTTCTCACTAGTTCTTTCAACAAAACAAGATCTTGGTTCTCACTGGTTTATTCGACAAAACAAAGCCCTATATCCTGGTTCCCAATGGACCTTTTGACAAAGTATTATGCTGCATTCTGGTTCCCATTGGCTCTTATACAAAACAAAACCTTGAATCATGGCTCCCACTGTTTCTTTCAACAACACAAGACCTGCATCTTGGTTCCTATTAGTTATTTTGTAAGCACTGGCTTCAACTCCTGGTTTCCTTTGTTTTATGTCAATACCAGCCCTAGGTTCCCATAAGTTCTTTGGCAAGCAAC